TCTCCTGTGGCCAATAATACCCCTCCATGGGGGCTGGGTTTAGTAACTGATAATATGCAGAGTCCCCGAACAGTCCATCAATGCCACATTCATCTCCAGCAGCCTGTGGGCACCCCAATGCTGTGTCTCATCCCAGCCTGTCCATATGGCGCTATCGCTCCAATCCAGCCCCTTCCAGCCAGAACCCCCCACCCTGCCTGGGGTCACTTCTCGCTCAGGAGAGGGCTCCATACTCCCCCCAGGCTGGGCTCTCAGCTGAGCACTGGGCTGCAATCCCAAACCCACCCGCTGCTCTGTGCAGCCTCAGGCCCCGCCCCACCTCTGGCTCTTTACAGAGAGGAAGTGCCCTCAATCAGGCCCATCAAGAGGCTGTTAATGAGGCTCAGATGGGCCCAAGAAGCTGCATTTGAAAGAGACCAGTTCACTCTGTGACGCCCCATGTGCCCTAACCACTAGACCCCACTCCCCTCCCAGAGCCGGGATAGAACCCAGGAGTCCTGGCTCCCAGCCCCCTGCCCTAACCACTAGACCCCACTCTCCTCTCAGAGTTGGGATAGAACCCAGGAGTCCTGGCTCCCAGCCCCCTGCCCTAACCACTAGACCCCACTCTCCTCTCAGAGCCAGGAGTAGAACCCAGGAGTCCTGGCGCCCAGCCCCCCATCTCTAACCACTGGACCCCACTCTCCTCTCAGAGCCAGGAGTAGAACCCAGGAGTCCTGGCGCCCAGCCCCCACTCCCTACGAAGAGCAGGGGGCGGAGAGTCTCTTTCTAGGAGCTGTGGAGCAGGGAGTGACCGAGATGCCAGGGTCTCTGTCAGGGAGGGGCTGATCCCGGTAGCTGAGACACACAGAATTGGGGGTGGGGGAGGGTCGGTCTCACCCCTAGCCATGCACCTCCCACGAGGGGGGGGTGCTCTACACCCCACCTGCCCTTGCATCCGCTCCCCCCGACCGACCGGAGTCAAGGGGACACCCCCGGAGTCTCTCTCCCTCTCTCCTCTCCTGGAAACCTAAGAGGCCTCCTGTCCCCAGGGCCGCTTGCTGGCATCTCGGCACATCCATTAGTGGCAGGGCTGGCCAGGCCCGCGGGCTCCTGCTCTCTATTGATGAGTCTGCTTCGGATCTCTCCCCCCCCGCCCCCCCCCCGCCGCTTGACGCCCCCGCCCGGGAGGCTGCTTTGTCTCACAACTGGGTTGATGCAGCAGGAGTGCTGAGAAGGGCCCAGCCCCGGGCAAGCCGCATGGGGCTGGGGAAAGCCGGCCGGGGAGGGGGCAGGAGAGCTGGGGCGTTTGCTCTGGATGGGGGGGACAGCGAGAGGGGGGTGTAGGGAGGCAGTGGCTTGAACAGTCCTGGAGCAAGGAGGCAAATCAGGTTGGCGCTGTCTCTGGGGTGGGGCATGTCCCCGGTCTCGCTGCTGGCCCAGGGCCCCAGAGCCGGCTGATGGGGCAGCCAGACGCTGGGGAGCGAGGCCAGGACACCAGGGCTAACGGGACAGTTCCCAAAGGGGCTCGGGCAGCTTGCAGGGCACAAGGACACAGGACTTGGCTCCCCCAGTATCACGGTGCCCCCTGGCGCCGCACTGGGGTCAGCGCTGACTGGAAGGGGAGGAGCCCCCCTAGCCCCACCCCGACAGCACCTGGGGCTCCTGGGAACGTCTCCCAGCCCTGCTTAGCAGGTGGCACTGAGCCCAGGGGTCTGCGGGCTGAGCAGCGGGGTCGCTGGGCGCCTGCAGGGGGAACAGACGGAGCATTGCTGGCTAGGAGCTGAGCCCCTGGGCTCTGCATGGAATGGGTGTGGTCCTCCCCCAGCCATTGCCGGGCGGTTCCCAGCTCGGAGCGAGGCCTGGCTCTCCTGGCTGGGAGCTCCCCTGAGACCGACCCAGAGCTCGGCCTGGCCCCAGAGGCTGCTGCGTGGCAGGCTCCTGCCAGCGTCTCGGAGAGGTCCCTGGGTGCGGAGCCGCCGGCTGCAGCCCTGGCTGGGCTAGGGGACCGTCTCTCTTGTCGGTGGAGCAGCCGGGGGACAGCAGTTCCACCCCCACCACCCAGGGCGCCCTTTGCCTCGGCCCCAGACTTGGAGACCATGGGGGTCGAGGTGCTGGGTGTGAGGCCCCTGACCAGGCCCTGCAGCTGCCCAGAGCCTCTGACCTCTGTGACCCCAGAGCACATCCGGGGAGGGGTTAGTGACGGGGTTTGGGAGCAATGCAGTGGGGTGCGTGAGGGGAACCTCGGCTACTCGCCAGGGAAAGGACGGAGGCTCCAGCGGCTGGGATGGGGGAGCAGGAGGTAGAACGGGGGTGCAGGGTGCTTGGCGCACGCTCTCCGGGTTCCAGCCGCATGGGAGGGGGGTGGACGTGTCAGTGCAGGCCTCACGCCGACCCTGTCTCTGGGCTCAGCTGAACCCAGATGTGGGATGTGGGCACCGGCCCTGGAGCAGGGGGAAGCACGGCCCAGCCTGGCCCCTCCTGGGGAGGGAGCTTCTGCTCTGACTCTCTTGGTCCTTGAGCCAACATTGTGCCAGGCTGGGCCCCCAAAGAGATCCGAGTGGCTGGGCCGGCGAGGAGGAGTCCAGAGCCCTTGTGACGCCCACGATGCCACCGCCCCATCCCCTGCCCCATGGCACACTCGCGCCCCATCCCACGCGACCTCCCTACCCCATCCCAGGCCCCCGCCCCGTCCTCACGCGACGCCCCTGCCCCGTCATACAAGAGCGCACGAGCTCATGCACCATTGCACAAGATGCTTGTGCACCATCCAGTGAGAGCACACGAGCCGCTCGTGCGCTGTCCCAGGAGCCGTCCCGTGGGAGCCCGTGGGCTGGGCTTCCTGCCTGTGTCCTGCGAGAGCCTGCGAACGGGGCTGGGTTGCTGAGCCAGGCGCCGGGTGAGGAGGCAGCCGGTGCGTCTCCTCCTGGGAAGCAGCCGCCCTGCATGTCTCTCTCCAATTCCAGCGTCTTCCTGCTCAACGAGGTAACGAGGGTCCCGCAGCGACCGGGTCGGCCCCGTCGCGGTGCCGCTCCCAGGATGGGGGGGGGGGGGGGGATGCACCGTAGGGTGGGGGGAAGAGGAGGGAGTTGGACTGACCCTGAAAGAGGGTTCAGGCTGCAGACTCAGCTGCCGTCCCCCCCCCAGAGGCTGCCGGGCGGTGAGGGCCGAGGTGCTGAGGTCGGGCACAGCATGGAGGTAGGGGGGAGAGCGCTGCGGTGCCAGCCGGGCGGACAGGAACAGCAGGGCGTCTGCACTGAGTGGGAGCCTTCGCCCTCCAGCAGCACGCCCGGCCCCACGGCGCTCACCCCGTCATGCTGCCCACTGCACCCACTCCCCCTGGGGCGGGGGTAGCCCGGAGCCCCCTGCACTGCCGCCTGCAGCGCCCCCTGCAGGGACAGGCTGGGCCTGGAGTAGTGGGGCGCACGCCCCTATAGCCAGGGTACCTGCCCCACCCCTGCAGCGCCCCCTGCTGGGACAGGCTGGGACTGGAGTAGTGGGGCGCACGCCCCTATAGCCAGGGTACCTGCCCCACCCCTGCAGCACCCCCTGCTGGGACAGGCTGGGACTGGAGTAGTGGGGTGCACCCCCCTATAGCCAGGGTACCTGCCCCACCCCTGCAGCGCCCCCTGCTGGGACAGGCTGGGACTGGAGTAGTGGGGCACACGCCCCTATAGCCAGGGTACCTGCCCCACCCCCTGCAGCGCCCTCTGCTGGGACAGGCTGGGACTGGAGTAGTGGGGTGCACCCCCCTATAGCCAGGGTACCTGCCCCACCCCCTGCAGCGCCCCCTGCTGGGACAGGCTGGGTGTACACCCTTCCCACCTGGTGAAGCTTTTTGGATGGTGGGGTCTGTCCTGCCCCCTGGTTTACGGTGTGTGCGGGGAGGGGGAGCTTGTCTGCTGCTTCTCCCACAGCCAATGAATATTTCATCCCTATTAAATAATAATCAACATCGGAACTGCGGGTGGAGTGAGCAGCCCCCCCGGCTCTGCAGGGGTGGGGGGCAGGGTGAGCAGCCCCCCCGGCTCTGCAGGGGTGGGGGGCAGGGTGAGCAGCCCCCCCGGCTCTGCAGGGATGGGGGGCAGGGTGAGCAGCCCCCCGGCTCTGCAGAGGTGGGGGGCAGGGTGAGCAGCCCCCCGGCTCTGCAGGGGTGGGGGGCAGGGTGAGCAGCGCCCCGGCTCTGCAGGGGGAAGGGCAAGAGATTAAATTGCCCCAGACCCCTCGGCCCCATCCCCCCCAAGCAAACGGCCCCAGCGACCCCCAGCCCTTTGGGGAGCGGGAGCACCCCAGGGCCACGCAGCAGCGGGGTGCTCTGTAGGGGGGCCTGGCAGGCAGGCTGTCCCGATGGGTAATGGGGTGCAGACCAGGGGGTTCAGGGTCACCCCACTGCAGCCAGGCGAGCATGGGGGGGGGCCTGGGGCAGTGAGTTCCCTCCCATGGGGCAGGGAGATGCCCTTGTCCTGTCCTGCTGCGGGGGGGTTGACCACGACTTACTGCCCTTCCCCCCACAGCTAGTGTGAGCGGCTGGGGAAGGGGATCAGGGTGCGAGCTGCCGGGCCCCCACCCTTCGCGGGGCAGCAGAGCCCCCCAGCCAGGTGCTCCGGGGGGCGCCCTCAGCCCCCAGCCGCTCATGGGGCGCCGGAGCCCCTTAGTGGGGGAGGGGCGCCAGCCGGCGCCGGCGGAGGGAGGGGCGGCAGAGGACGCGGCTGGGGGGGCAGGGGAGGAGCAGCGAGCGAGGGGTGGGGGC